GGGTGGCACCAGAGGGTGACCCTGTGTGGCGCACTTCACCCTGGGGGGCCGTATGCTTCCCAGCCGTTCCCTCCTCTGTCGGCGTCTCCCGTCTCACTGAGCAGCAGCATGGGTTGTTCCTTCTAGTTCAGATCCTCTTCGTGGTGGTGTGGTGGCACCTACTAGTGATCCCAGCACTCTGGAAGGCTGAGGCAGGAGGATGAAGGAGAGTTCAAGCCCGGCCCAGACAACTTAGTACAGCAGAACAACTCTCCCCACACTGAGTCTCAGTCTGCTGCTTCCCAGGCATTTGGTCCAGCCTCGGTCACCTCCTCCAGGAAGCTGCCTCCACCCCACTACCTATCGCCTCTTCTCTAAACTGCTATGTTCACGCTGAGATCCTACTGAAGGCTGTCCTTTGTATTTCAGACCTAACACTAGCCAGGAACTCTTTCAGGGGCTTTACTGCCATCAAAGCAGACTTTCCCTTAGTGAGGGAGGCCTCGGGTTTGGTCCTCCCTGCCTTCTGATCCACTCTGCATTCGGTCACTGCCGCAGGGCTGGCTGGTGGGCACACCAGCTTTCTGCTGCCAGGAATACTGTTTCCCAGGTACCCAGTTCATAGCATTACCTCCCCTCACTCACCCTACCACAGGCTTCTTTCCTGGTACTGGAGGTAATTCAAAGGGGTTCTACATCCCCAGCCTCTATTCATTTTGCCCAGATGGTCCTGCCTGAGCCTCCTAAGTCATTGGGATCCTGGCCCCCATCACACCTCACTGACCACGCCCCTGTCCCGAGAGCACGTCACCGCCAGACCTTCCCCTGCACATGTGTACATGCATGCACACGCATACAAAGCGTGATTTGACTAAGGCTATTTTTCTTACTGCAATTAGTTCTTGGAGGGCTGAACTGTGTTTACCTCTTCATCGATATCCTGAATACTTGCTGACTTTCTGGCACGCAGAACATACATGATAAATGTGGGTCAAAGGAAAAGGAAAGAACAAAAGCAACACGAAATTATTATTGAATTATATGATGATATACAGGTGGCAAAACTGCACGGAGAAGGAACAAGACTGTTTCTCCTGGGTTAGCTGCATAATACACTCAGAAACTTCCACCCATTCACCTTTTATTTAGAAATACAGAGGGTTCTTTCACCTCCGTGACTGAACTTCACTCTGTCTACCTCAAATACTGCTGTTTCTGTCTCCAGTTACAGAAATAAACACAATGAGTTGTTTATAAAGGATGAAATGAGTTGATCTGGACATTTTCAACACTTTCGCTTCTTTCTACACTGACAATGCCGCAGATGCAGAAGCCTTTCTAAGAGAGCATGCTTTGCCCCCACTGGGGAAGAAAGAGGGGTCAGGACCTGCCCTCCTGTCCCTCCAAGAGGACTCTGACACACTCCCACCTGCTTGAGGCTCCTCCAGTGCACTACTGATTCTGGAAAATGCGAACATGAGTTTGTTGAATGAATACTCTGCACTTAGCAACATTACCAGCTGCCTGTCACAAGGCCTGGGAAACAAGGCATGGTACCTACTATACAAAGTCTAGAAGGTACCAATACAGCTTGCTTTCTCTTAAGTAAGTCAGTCTATACATTGTTTGGAACTATAACTGGTAAGCAAACTGCCTTAATTCACAAAAAAGATACCTCGTTTCATGACAAATACACATAGGTACATCTATCACTCGGTATTAATACAGGCACATGGAAACATTATATACTTACCATTCTTTAAGTTTGCTGAAGGAAAAAAGGTTGAACTAAGAGTATACTATAGGGGCTGGGGATTTAGCTCAGCAGCATAAGCACCTGCTTTGCAAGCACATGGTCGTGAGTTCGATCCCTGGTACTGATAAAAAAAAAGTATACTATAAACACCTCAATGCTAAAATATAGCTCAAAACTAGTTCCTTATCTACCTCAAAATTTTATAAAAAGATTTAAAAAGGAAACCACAAACCACTAAAACTTACTTCGGCAGGCACAGGACTCTCAGCCCTGTCCTCAAGGACTGCTTGCTTTGACCTCATGAACCACTATCTACTGCAGCTGCGCTGTCACCAAGCTTCTCACCACAGAGGAGAAGCCGGGCTGGTGACATGCTCAGTGGTAAAGCGTATGCCTAGGGAGAAGCCTCACCAGGGAATGGTTCCCCAGGACATGGAACTAATGGGAAGCAGACTTCAAAGGAAAAAAGTCAAAAAGTTGTTAACCAGGTCTTCAGGATGTCATCAAGTTACAAAACAACACAATCACTCTTTATGCTTTTTAAAAAAATCAATATACAATATTTTAAAAACAGAAAAATGTTAACATTCAAGGACTTAATGCAGAACTGTTAAGGTACAAATTCAGTTGAGGTTTAGCAAAAGAACAAAAAATGTCCAGATCTGCAGTATTTCACACTGCCGACAAAGCAAACTGGGATGACAGTTCAGCCCTTAAAAATAAAAGTGAACACTGTTCCATCATAACAAAAATTTTACGAAGTCCTCATCCAAATTATAGTTACTGCTTGCTTGAATTACAGTGAAAACATCTCCTTATAGTGCCGAAGAACTAAAAGATACAAAGGCCATGGCTTCCAATACAAATGCTCTCTGCCAAGTGGGTACTGAGCGCAGACTGATATCAGCCTGAGGACTGTGGTGGGAGGGCAAAGCAAGGAGCCCCGTGGCCAGTGGCGTGAAGGTGCAGCCCTTCCCCTCCCACCGCGCCGCCAAGGAGCAGGCGAGGCCCTCAGTGTGATCAGAATCAGCGCTGTCCCACTGGGCCTAGAGAGACTACTTCCTTTTCCCAGTGCAAGGTCACACTGAGAAAGAGCCATCTACTAGCCAGGTGACGGCCCTCCCCCAACAGCCAGCCAGCGCCTTGATCTCTGACTTCCCAGGCCTCAGAGACATGAGAAACACATTTCTGTTATTTAGGAGCTATGCAGTTGGTAGCATTTTGTTACAGAAATCTGTATGGACCAAGAAACAATCTAAGAGCGTAAGATCCCTGAAAACAGGCAATTTTCTATTTTTATTTTACAGTCACAAAGAGAAATGGTGATAATGATATTATTCTCAAAGCCATGACTTTCAAACTTTTATCTCTGAACCCTGACCTTGCTCATCCAAACCGCCAACACACACATCATCAACTTCCTACCAACCGTTTCCTCTTGAGTATTTTGTTGTCTCAAATTAAACACTGGGTCAAACAGAAAGTCCCTGTCCTTCATCCTCACCCTCTGCGAGCTAAACCGGCCTCCTGGGGATTTTCCATGCCCTGTCCTGCTGTCTAGCATCACTGTATTCTCTCGGTTCTACTGTGCTACTAAGCCCCTCCAGTAAGCACTTAACCATTTATCTGGTTAAAGAGATTTCTTATGGGTGTGTGTGCTTCTATTTTCTTTATTGCTTTAAATGTGCTGACTGGTCCTTCTAAATCTTTTTTTCCTATCACTTTTAAATTTAAAAAACATTCCTCAGTGTGTACAGGATAAAATTGGCAGTGAGTGACCTTTTAAGATTTACGGAGGTGGCCTGGGGGACTGTCAGGGCGCCTCCTCCTCTTCCTGCTCAGTGTGCCTCCCTCCTGAACTATGTGGCACATCTCTGTGTAGTCAAGGCTTGGTGCAGTCTGGCTCCCAGTGACCTGATTCCACCTTCCATTCAAGCACGTAAATCTTAACATTTCTGTTAGTCTATTTCCCTACCAAACGTGGATTTCTCTAATATACTTATTTTAGTATAGTACAGTACAGTGATCATAGGGTAGGATGAACAATATTTTTATATTTAAAACACACAATGCCTATATCTAGTGCTACATGAATATCCATCAAAATACAAAAGAACAGTGTAATTGCTACACACCCACACATACATGAATAAACTGAATGCAAATACCACATTAGCTAATGAATGCCAGAAAGTTGTGTGTTGTGCTCCTGGTGGAATGATGCTGGGCCAGGTATCTGATAACTACTAAGGTTTCCTTTTTTGCCATTGTAATGTTTTCAGGTAAGTAACTTTCATCTCCAATAGCTAAAGGAGTCAGTGAGAAGGGTAGACTTGGTAGACCCCAAAGAAACATTAATTTTCAAAAGAAGTGTTAAGGGAAATGATGATATCAACAAACTGTAATTTACTATAGTCCTGGGACCTCACAGAGAACGTATAGCATGAACACTACTGGTATTGGGAGAACTGAATTGTTTTAAGAAGGCTACCTGGAAGACAGTGTGGCTGAAGGCCTCCAGGACTTAAGATCTGAGGAGCACAGAAAAAGGCACTGAGCTGGGCAGGGGTGAGACCCGTGAACCAGGACTGAGCTACATGGATTCCACACCATGGTCACTGCTGGCTTGCCCACGGCTAGGCTAGGACTACAGTCCTGCACAAAGAAGCAAGTATGTTATGTAGAAAAGGGAGGTGACACCTGGGAACCGATCCTTTATTAAACCAACGCTCAGGGCCTATTAGACAGAGCCGTCCTCAGGTATGAGCCACAGTCAGCCGCCTCTGCCCTCTCTGTTCGAGCCCCGCTGCACATTTTCACATCACATGACAACAATGTGGCATACTAATCTCCTTCTTGTCTAATCCTAGGTTCTGGTAATCGAAGCCCTGGATCTAAACCATTCCTAACTTAGCAATTACTGAGAAGAATGCTGTAGTTTTCTCCCTGAAATCTGTGTCAACCACCAATAAAAAGGCTTCAAAATATTCACAGCAGAATATACCACTGTTTAACTCCCAACACTTTCTACCAACACCAATCTGAAGAGCAAAGATTAAAGAAAAGCATTTTTGACAGTTTTTACCTATAAAAGACCGAGACAGTACAGTTGATAGCTTTACAGCACAAAGGTATTTTGTGTTCTAAAAACTCAAACATGGGACTTTTTTCTTGTCAGTTAACAGAAAGGAAACATTTTCAACTCTTTTGGGTGACTCTATTTTAAAGACCACAGAAGATGTCAGAAGATAAAGACTGAGCTTACCTTATTTTCTTCCAGAAATTTCAATTTGATAGAAACATCATTGCGCATTTTATCATATTTTTCCTTATGTGCTTGGAACAGCTGTTGTGACTGCTCGATTTTTGGCAAAGTGTTTGCATCACGGGGACCAAGGTTCAGCTCTTCTAAGTCAGTGCGATATGCGTCATACTCAATCCTGGAAAGAACAGAGTAAGTGATGCACAGGCAAAACGGAGTGAATTATGTCCATAAGCTGGGTTGGAAAACACAATGTCTATTGTCATGTTACACAATAACATTCAAATTTCTCATACCTATTCCATACCTTATGCTTTTGCAATCATTATTCTTTTAAAAACAAAATCTTATGGAATGGGGGTGGGGATAGGATCTGGGGTAGAGTTCAGTAATAAAGTACTTGCCTATCATGTGACATAGTTTGTTCTTCAGTATCACAAAGGGACACAGTTAAAAACATAAATAAAAATAGGGGGAGAGTTGCTTTTTAATACTATTAACTATTCTTCTCAAAGTACAGTACTAACCTACAAATAAAATTTCCAAAATTTAAAAATCAGTTTTATAAGGGCTGGGGATTTAGCTCAGCGGCATAAGCGCCTGCCTTGCAAGCACACAGTCATGAGTTTGATCCCTGGTACCAATAAAAAAAAAAATCAGTTTTATAAAACTGATGTCAAAAGCAAATATGTCAAAATAATACTATGGACAGCAGAGGTACGGCCTGGGTAACACCAATGGGACAAGGGAGGTGAGGACAGCAGACTTCGGTCCTTAGGTTACAGCCTCAGCCGCCAGGGCGCACAAGGAGGAAAGATGAACCACACGTGTGACTGAAATCTTTTAGAAAAAAATTCTTTTAGAAGTGACACTAAAATAGCAACTGTGCCTGCTTTTAAACTGTATATGTTTATAACTGATTGGGGGGGGTATCAGAAATCAATCTCTGGACCTCACATGCAGGTGCTGTGCCACTGAGCTAAATCCCTGGCCCTATCACTAAATTTTATTATTGTTCTTATGAGGTTTTCGATATGAAAGAATCTATGACAAATATGTACATTGTAAGTTATAATTGTAAAAACCCTCAAGAATCCAACCTGAAAGCAGAATTTCATATAAAGACCCCTCATTTTCTTCTCCAAGGTCAATTTTTTGTGTACATAAGTACTATTGTGAATTAGTGGCATCATCCCTCATTCCTTCATGTAACTTCATATAAGAATATCCTCATGCAAATACTGTTTAGTTTTTATTTTGAAAACTTTATATAAAGGCATCAGACTGAATATATTCTTGTTTGACTTGCTTTCTCCACTCAACATTATCTTAGATTCAACCATGTTAATGGATGTACACAGTCTATTAAGCAGAACATAAAAATAATTTTGAAACATATCTGAAAGGATGCATAGGATGCATAACATACATGTTATATATGTGTATGTTAAAGTATTTTTTACTTTACTCAAAATGTTGAAAATATTATCACTGGAACACATAATCAATATAAAAGATCAGTAATGAGCCACAGTATGTTTGGGGGCTGGGTACTGAGTGTGGAAATGTACCTTGTAGCTCACACATCTGTCACAGTCCCATTTCTGGCTGGCCATATTTCAAGCACCCAGTAGCCACAGGCACACAGACTGCTGGACACCACAGCTCTGGACAGATTCCTTCACTACCAGTGCGCAGAATGCCTCGGTGCTATCTACACAGAGCGCCTGACACTTGTGTGTGCAATGTATCATCTGAGCACTCTGTGCTCACTAACCGCAAGTCCCCTAACATCACTCCTGATCCCATGGCATCGAACATCTCCGGTCAGAGAGCTAGGTAAGTACAGCAACTTGTTCAGCAGCTGCCATAGCTCAGTACCCAGCCAAGAAGCAGAAGAGGGACCTTTACTTTGATAAAAATATGAACACAAAGCTTATGTCTCCAAATTAAAGTTCTTTATCAGATACCTACAGTATGATTTGCATCCCCTACTTTAAATAACATAAACTGTATAGTATTCATGATTTGTTATAGACTACATCAGTCTATGATACTGGGCCTAATATATTCCTTTTTGTCTGTTTGGTTAGGCCGGGTCTCACTGCGTAGCCTAGGCTACTCTCAAATTTCCAGCTATCCTCCTGCCTTGGTCTCTCGAGTGCTGGGTTCATGGTGTGTTCCTCCACACCCAGCTACACCTCATGTACTCTAAACACCTAATGAACTTAACAAACTCGATCTTCTAGGGCCAAAGTAGGATCATTCATTCATTCATTCATTCATTCATTCATTCATTCACTGATATACTGAATAATTATCAAGTGGGCACTTTTTATGTTTCAGGCATTGTGCCTGAAAGTAAAGCTATAAGCAGCTATGTTTACCCTCATGAAATCTGTGATACAAGGTTGCACCGATTACTACAAAAATGGCATATTGGAAACTACCACGAAGAGGAGAAAGAAAGAATGAAAATCAAGGACTAATGACATATCTGTAAAAGCATCTCCAGCAGAATTAAGACATTAAAATTAAAATCTGGAGGCTGATAAAAGCTTAATGAATCGGCCAGAGCAGGGAAATTAGTAGACCATTAGGAAAAATACAGAACACGTGTGAAGGAATAGGATACCACATGACCTGGAGGTTAATCCACTGGGTTACAACCTGAATTTGGAACACAGCAATTGGAAGCATTCAAGTGGACAGCCAGGCAGGAGTGAAATTCAGCAGCCTAGTGGGCCACACAGTTCAGGTGTAGCCCAGGAGGACAGGGACGCACATGAGAACAGTAGCTTCGACGGTTCAGTACAGAGGGGTCGAGGTGGCCTGGAGCAGAAGATGAAGCAGCCAGGAGGAAGCCAAATAAAAACCTTGGGTATGTGAGAAACTGGTCTAAAGCCAGAGCGACAGTAAACACTTCCTGAGAGCACTTAACTGTCCCTGGGCGCAGAGACGGGAACATGTGACACCTCCCTTTCACGCCGCTAGCCTGAACTGGTGCATGTCAAGGTGAGGGCTGGCTGTTTTCCAACTTAGGTAAGACTTCTGGAGAACAGGTGTCCACCTCTGAAAAGTCCTGGCCACGAGTGACTCCAGGGCTAGGCTGCCACACACCATACACAACGGGGTGCATGATCGGCTGCCCCATGCTTGCAAAATGACTGCCTTTTGTGCAGATCAAATGGATGACCTTTGCTCTGAAAGTCAGTAAATGCTGGTTTTGACAGAGAACAAAATTCAGCTTCCGAGAGACTTTCATCTTGGATTCCTTTCTGAGTGTGACCTGCCTGCCCCTCAGCAACCAGCGTTTCAGGGTCAAAACAGCTTCTGTATGAATACAGAAATCACCTGAAGCTCACGTTAATGAACTGGATTACAGGTTGTAATGTGAACTAAAAGGGTAACTGCGGTGAGCAGTGCTTGGGAAGTACATGAAGAGAGTATCTCCATTTTCACTAAGTAACCAGCTACCAGATATACAGCATCTAACTTAGGATTTTGTTCAAAAGCTCCCAACAGACTTGTAAAAATGTATAAATTGAGACCTACATATCACATTATGCTTGCAGCTGGGTTTCTCACAACAGAGGTGCAAATTCAGTCATGTGAATGCACACCTGTAACTACCAACTACTTGGGTGCCTGAAGCAGGAAGACTTCAAGTTCAGGGCAGGTTAGGCAGGAGGACTTCCAGTTAAAGTGAGTTGAGGTAGCCCAATGAGGGCCTGTGTCAACATTTAAAAAATTAAAAGGGTGGGATGAAGGGATGCTGTCTTGCCTGTACAAGGTCTTGGGTTTAATTTTCAGTACTGGGGGGAAAATGATATGAAAATTATTTTTCATAATTAGATATGAAATGTTTCATTTTTTTCTTTTTTTGAGACAGTCTCACTATAATCCAGGCTGGTCTTGAACCTGCTGACGTAGCCCAATCTACTGCCTAGTTTCCTGAGTGCTGGGATTATATTCATGTGCCACCATGCCCAACTTGTATTTTATTCTAAAATTATTATTATTATTATTTTGCTCTGCTGGGACTTGAACCAAGGATCTTGTGAATACCAGGGAAGCACGTTACCATTGAGCCACAACTCTAAACCCCAACTTTTAGGTTAATTCAGTTCAAACTTAGTGTTTACTGATTAAGATTAAGCCACAGCAGGTGCAGTTGTGCCCACTGATAATCCCACACGCTTCAGAGGCTAAGGCCGAAGGATTGCAAGTGCTAGGCCAGCCTGGGCAATTTAGCAAGATTCTATCTCAAAACAAAAAGAGCTGGTATTATAGCTCAGTGATCACTGGGTTCAAGCCCCAACACTGACCCTCACCCCAAAAAGATACAGAACCAAAGGGTCTTGGGTTTTGAAACTGACCACAGGTGAGGAAGTTAACCTCTTCTAGAGCCTGATTTATCTCCTCTGTAAGTGAAATATCTGCTCTGTAAGTCAATACATGAACAATGACTTAACTGACACATCTAGCTTTCTTTAATATGGGCTAATATTTTAAAAGACATATTAGAAATAAATGCCCCAAAGAAGGATATATATTAAGTAACTAAAACATATTTCAGAGTAGGCAGGCGCTAGCAAAGTAATGACAAAACAGATTTATACAGTTCTTAACCAGGCTTGGAGTTGTGGCTCAATGTTAGATGGTGGCAATACTCAGGGAAGAAAACAAACTTTCATTTCTGAAAGTCACAAATATAGACAGACATAGCAGCACACACTTGTAATCCCAGCACTTGGGAGGTTGAGGCAGGAGGACTGCAGCAAGTTTGAGACCAGCCTGGCTACGTACTGAGTTCAAGACCAGCCTGAACTACACAATGAGACCTTGTCCCAAAAAAAGCCATAAACCAAACAAACAAAAAAGTTATAAATACTGGAAGAATACAAATGACTAGAAAACTAGAAACTCAGATAAAAGTAAACGCATCCTATAAACAAATCAAGACTTTCTGAGTATGGAACAAATTTAGGAAAGAGTCAAACAGAACTTATATACATGAAATATTTCATTCAGATAAATAATGAATCCTTTGGTAAATATAATGTCCACGATAGATTTTAACAGGTCCCTGGGGTTTAAACCACCAGTGCACCATCGGGTGGCCTGTATCATTGGTGATACAAATGGATCTAATCACCTTCACTGGCTTTTTACTAATAAAATTAATAAAAAGTCACCTGGGCACAATCATGCCTGAACTACTGGTGGCTAAAGCCCGCCACATACAAGACAAATTATGGCCCTGCCGTGACTGTGTTAAACAGAGGCTGGAGGACCAACTACTAGTAATACTACTGAAGACAGTCTCGTGAGATCTTACTGACAGATTTGACAGATTCCTTGAAGGAACGCCGTGGTAGTAACAGTTAAAAAAGAAAAGCAAAACACAAACAAAAAACCTCCAAGACCAAAATCCATTAAATAAGCCACAAAACCCTTGCCCTATCCTCCCCCTACCAGACAATCAAAGTTTTCTTCTTTATTTAATTTTTTTATTTTTGGAGGTATAGGCAGTTGACCTCAGGGCCTTGGCACAAAACTATATCCTCAACCCCTTTTTTGTTTTTTATTTTTGAGACAGAATCTTGCTAATGGTCCAGGGTGGGCTGCAACCTGCTGTCAGGCCTCCTGCCTCAGCCTCCTAGCATTTGGGTAACAGGTGCTAGATCTTTATTTTACACATTTATATTGACTGAAAATTACAAATACAGCATGGATTAAAGGCATCTCTTTTTAAAACACTGAAAGTTAACTTTTCCAGGTATTGGGCTTTTACTTCTTTAAGGCATAAAGCAATGGATGCTTCAGGCGCAGCGCACTTCCCTGAGAAGTGACGCGATGAGCCAGGATTCACACAGCCATCTGTCACATCATTAAATCAGGGCACCGGGCTGAAATGCAAAATGCTTCTAAAGGACAGTCTGCGTCTGACTTCAACAATGCACAAAAAGCATTTTAAAATACATTAATTTCAAATGTTCAGAGAGAAAAACTGCCAAGGGAACTGGACTGATGCTTAAACAAAGCTGGCAGAGTACATGGGGGAAACAATGGACCTGGAATCCAAAGCCGAAAGATGCGATCATGGGTTTGCTGCTCTTCAGAATTTCTAGGTATTCAGAATTAACCTGTACTTTTGGTCACCTAACAAGATGGTCAGAAGACTGACAAGTTATATACATTGAAGTTGAAGATATAAAAATTTGCATAACAAGCAGCTATCAAGATACAAGGTGAGTATGTATGTGGAAGTTGCAATGTGAAGGAGTCTGAGTTGAAGACAGCCATAAGCTGGGTAAGTGAACACCAGGATTGGGGCCGGAGCGCGCACGCCCAGCAGCTGCGGGGTGCGGGAAGCAGGCGATGTCAGTGGTAAGGCCTGCAGGTCAACACAGGCCGACTGCAGGGGACAGCAGGGGACCCAGCTGGCAGGACACAGGACTCCGCACTCCAGGGCAGCAGCAGTGGGACAACTGCACGCCCTGCTCCCTCTCAGGCAAGGTCTGGGCGCATGACCGAGGTTCAAGGGGACATTCCCAGGGCATGAAGCAAGCAGTCAGGGCCTTCTAGAGATTCCCAGGAGAACTGAAGAGCATGGAGAATCAGCAACACAGTACTGTCCTCTCCGGAGACTTCTGAGGTGCTGTCCGGCTCTGCTCCTGCTTGCTCCCGGAATCTTGCTCCGGTCTGTGCTGTGGGCTGTCCTGTGGCATTCCAGGACATCGCTGCTCTGTTAGCACCGGGCAGAGCTGGTTTCTGTTGTTTGCGACAGAAACCTTAACCGAAGTACATGCTGTAAAATAAACAACATGGAGAAAATGCGTACCTACCTGGCACTTTCATACTGTTTCACAGTCATTAATGTATCTTCAATCGTTTTATTCACCAAAGTGTTCACACTGGCAATAAAAAAATTAATGGCCCCAAGAAGAGTCTCTCCATTTTTTGCCAGCAGCTTCTGGGTATCTGCATTATAGCCAAATTCTTCCTAAAACAAAGAAGTTATCTCAGCTTATCCAGTAATAAGTTAATAGATATGACTGAAAAATCTCAAGTGTATCACTTACGGGAAAATGCGTGATTTAGAAATCTAGTGACAGAAGCTTTACCTTTTTATTTCAATCTTTAAACAGGTAAGAACCTAAATCTAAATTATAGATAATTACCAAAAACGTTTAGTGAGCCAAAACTGCCATCAGTGCAGATGCACAGCAAAATCTGAATCATTTTTAAAATCTAAACTACTCTGTACTAGCAAGAGTATTTTAGTTTTTACATTTTGTTTTTATTATACTATAAGCACAGCTGTTAGGAAAAAGAATATAGCAGATTATTAATCAGAGAAATGATAACTTTTATAACCAAATTAGGTAACAATTGGTTAAAACTCTCAGACATAAAATAGATAGCCATTTTTTGTGTTTTGACTGAGTCCCCTTGATGTATAAATATTAGCAAGACACACTTTGCTGTAAACAGAGTGACTGGCTGACTGGTAAGCTCAGGGCCATCTCAGCACACCACTGGGGAAAGATCATCCAGCACCTCTTTAGTTTAGTCTCCCCAGCACTCTGTGTTGGCTCGGCTCACGTGGATGCCACTCCTTCAGATGCGGCAGGAAAAGTCCTGAATATTCAGCAGTAAAATCTTTCCAGTGTAAGTTTCATTAATTAACAATTAATCAGAAACACATCCAGCCAAATAAAAATTCGATCACATTAGGATGGATCTTTTAGGCTTAGAACTTTTTTTTTTTTTTTTTGTCTTTTTTGAGACGGGGTCTTGCTATGCAGTTCAGGCTGGCCTTGAGCTCACTTTGTAGCCCAGGCTGGTCTCGAACTTGCTACCTCAGCCTCAGCCTCTCGAGTGCTGGCGTGAGCCACCATGCCCGGCTAGGCTTAGAACTTTTAAAAGGTAAAACATGTCTCAATTTCACCTGAACAAAATGTACTACAAAGTAAAATCATAGAAGGTGAAAAACAAATGCCATGATACAGTTATCACTCAATTTCTAGGTTATATACTATTCAATAAATTGTAAGACAGTGAAAATAACTTTGCTAAAAGCATTTTCCATTTAAGACAGAGTCATGAAACTGTTTACTTTGGACTCAGTCATCAACATTGTACTGACACTGATTGCAAATACTGGAGATATGATTACATTAAAATATGAATCATGAATGTAAAAACTAAAATGGTAGGACAGCTGAACATTTTGGGCACCAGCTTCTACAAGCCAAATTATACATGTAGTCTAAATAAACATTACCAGAAATAAGATAGTACAAGGTATGAAAGTAATCATTATGCATTATGAACATGTATCAGTAAAAATTAGAATCTTAGAACTTTTAGAAAATGTTAACAGAATATATTACAACTGTACTTATTCCTTTGATAGTCATTAGGAGGTAAAAGGCAAAATCAAAAAACAAGGAAGAAAAATATGAGTTAGATTTATATAAATACTATTGGGGGAAAAACTACTACTGTTGATAAAATAAGAAAATCTTTTCTACACACTTCATAACAAAGTACGTGTCATTATATCACATCCGGTAACACTGTATTTATTCCAGAAGTTCTCAAGAGTCACAATCCCACATTACTAACTGAAAAACACCAAAAGTCTTAACCACAGAAGGAACAGACAACCTAATAAGACTGCGTCTATGAAAAGATAAACAAATCAAACTAAAGGTGAAATTTCAGCAAATTGAAAAGTTAGTAAAACTTCACATCCTAAATTTACACCAGAACAGTAAGCTTCAATTCAAAGCACAAGGCAAGAGTAAAGCAACACTGTTTTGTTTCAGAAATGTTAAACCTCACCTAAAATTCTGAGAAGAAGCTAAGTATAAAGCAAAGATTTTAGGGCTAGGTGGGTACTTGCCTAGCATGTGTAGGGGCAGCAGGATGAGCTCCTAGGACAGCAAAACCCAATCCAACCCAACCTAATGCAATCCCCTTAATATTTTGAATGTATAATCTGAATACTTGGAGGGAAATGCTGACACATTAAAGGCTACTGATGGACTGGGACAGAGGATATAAGAAAACTCTGTACTCTACATCCAAATTTTGCCGTCAACTTAAATAGTCCTAAAAAATGAAATTACTTTAAAAAATGGTTAAGATACTAAATGTTGTTGTGTATATCAACACAATAAAAAAACTGGGAAAAACTCTGAGAACTCAACTGGCTATAATAAAAAGCACTTTTTAAAAAGAAACAGTAAACAACATGGCTGGTGACATGGTTGAAGGATGAAGTACATGCTTAACATGCGTCTGGCTGTGGGTTCAGTTGCCAAGAGAACAATAAACAGATAAAGTTACAATGAGGCACATGAGATAGAGTAATAAATGACACAAATAACTAGAATACTAATGAGAACAAAATGAATATATATGTATATTCATCATTAATAAATTCACTTTGGTATTAAAACGAAATGCGACTTGAACTTAATTTAGTCAATGATAGGTCAATTGTTTTAGTATTCTCAGTTGTTTAGGGGTGTGTTACACATTATCATAAATTGCTTTACTAAGTAAACGTAAACTAAACATAAACATCATTGACAACAAGGATACAGCTGTACTTCTGAACTGCAACTTAAGATGGAAGACTTATACAATTCCCAGAACTGAAAATTTAGTGATGAAAAGTGGCATTAAAGCAGCACGTAAGACAAAGACACAGCACAGAGAACCAGAAATAAATCTACGCATGTACAGCAGTGGTGGCAAACCTATGGCATGCATGCTACGGCAGGCTGTTTGGATCATCATCAAGAATTTATAGCCAAGTAAAATCTTCAACAAAGCACAAACACACACACTGGAGAAAAGTAGTCTTATCAATAAATGGTGCCAGAAAAACTCGATATCCATATGCAGAATGATACTTAGACCATCCTCTCCATACATAAAAATCAACTCAAAACATATCAAAGGCCTGAACGTATGAAACTGCAAGAAGAAAACATAGGCAACACATTTCAAAATACCACTAGGCAATGATTTTTTCATTTAAGATCTAAAAAGCATGTGTAAGACCTCAGAAGCATAGGAAACCAAAGCAAAACTAGACAAATGGGATTATATCAAACTAAGCAGCTCTTGCACAACCACGGAAATCAACAAAGCGACAACCCACAGACTGGAAGAAAATACTGCATTGCAAACTGTCCATCTGGCAAGAAATTACTATCCAGAACACTTAAGGCCTTCAACACAGTGAAAAACCAGCCCACTATGCAAATGACCTGGACGGACATTTTTCAAAAGGATACAACAAATGACCAACAAGTACATGAAAAAATACTTAGCATCACTAATCATGGAAATGTAAATCACAATCATCATGAAATATTATCCTACCCCAGTTACAAAGACTATAAGCAAAAACACTAAAAGAAAAGAAAAGAAGAGAAAAAAAGACATAAACAAAACATGCTAGTGAGGGTGTGGAGAAAGGCGAGCTCTCACCAGCTGCTGGTGAGAACGGAAACTGGTATAGCCACTATTGAAACAGGGTGGAGGTTCCTTAAAAAACCAAAAGGACTACTATAACCCAGGAGTCCTGCTGCTGGGCATGCATTTAAAGGAAATAAAACCAGTATGCTGGACACAAAAGGTCATACGTGTATCACCCCTTTATATCAAATGTTAATGCAAATCTACAGAGAAGCACAGCACACTGGTGTTTGTCAAAGGCTGAAGGGAGAAAAAGATTGGTATGGGACTTCTGGGGGTGATAAATGTTTTGGAATTAGATGTGACTGACGTACAACTTTCTGAATACATTGAGCAATTAAAATAGAGCATTTCTTTTAAAGGGAATACAAATGGTTTTTATGAATGTCTGCTGCTTAAATTGCACTCTTTACAAGGGTGAGTCTGATGGTCTTAAAAAATAAAATCGGAACACATCTGTGAAACAGGAATTTGCTGCCCCTGCACACAATCTCTCTCCCATTCCCTCCAGGTACATGAATTATATGATGCTCCAAATGTTTTGAGTTTTAGAGCATTTCAGTTTTTCAGATTAGGAATGTTTAGCCAGTAAAGTCAATGCAAATCTTCGAAAAAGCCAAACCAAACCAAACCAAACCAAACCAAACCTCTGAAATCTCAAACACTTCTGTTCCCATGCATTCTGGATAGGGGCTACTAAATGAATACAAAGACCCCAGCTCACTGCATTTAAGATGTGGTACTCAGTAACTGCAGCTGTTATGATACTCAGCTTCCCACACAGTAGTTCTTGTTGTCTAATGGATCAGTTAAAACTGAATTTCTGTGTTTGTCAGTGTTACAACATGTATCACCATTGATACCAAACTTTCTTTGCCCAAGGTTACACGGCAAAGTGATTTTTTTTTTTAACTTAATGTTTTAAACTATCCAATTCTTCAAATAAGAAGTTTGTAGGCAAAGAGTATCTATACTATCTGGCTCCAGGCAAGAAAAGAAAAAAGGCAAAAACACTGAGACATGAAAAAATGTCAAAAGATAGCAAAACAAATTCCTTAAAATGTTTTGCTGAATACTCACAGAGATAAATACTGGAAAATAATTTCCCGGATTTATTCATGTATTTATGTAATTTGCTGGCTTGCAGTGCTAGGATGCAGCCCAAGGTGTGGCATATGCTAAGCTCGCACTTTACAACCGTGCTCGCCCTCAAACTTCACATTTATATTAATGACTGCAGTGAAAGTATCTCACAAATTCATTCAAACAAGTCACAAATTGCTCAATGTACCTGGAATGGGTAAGAGAGTTTTAATAAGTGTCTACTTTACTTTTTACTCAGACCAGAGGTATACATAACTGAATGTTTTCTAGGCCTGGGCAGGCTGAGTACTCTTTTCCTTCATTCTAATCAAATTCCTTTCTCCTAAAAACTCTAGGTGACATTTATTCTGAAGTACAAATAGGTCAACTCTGTCAACGGAAGTCAGCCAGGTCTTCTCGAATAGTACATGAAATGTCTTAAAAGAACACTTCAAAACTGCAATTACAGGAATTTCTCATCGAGCTGGAGGTATAGCCAGTGGCAAAGCACACGTGAGCCCCAGCATTCAGCAACGCGAAAATTCCAACTACATGAAAGTTCAGCAAAACATAAATGTAATAAATTACTTCTTAAAATACTTCTATTGCCTTTCCCCCATCCCCTAATAGTACTTAAAATAACCTTACATGGAGTTCTAGAGACTTCAAACTCAGGTCAGCAAATGCATCTCCAAGCTGCCTCTGAGTGTGCACCATCTGGAAAAGCTGGGTGGACAATGTCTGAGCCAGTTTGAGGATATTTTCATATTTTTTCTTATTATCTCTTAATATGTCAATCTGAGCTTCAAGTTCAAGATCCACAGTTCTTGAGCCACGGCCTAGCTTCTCAGAGATAATTTGTCGGGTACACTAGAAGTGGAAAAAAATAAAACAGTAACAAAAAAGTAATAGCCATTCAAAATACAAATGCTAGAGTATGTCTCATTCTTTGACAGAAGTGAGTCAGTTTTGCATACTGATAATTGTCAACCCCTTTAGAAGCTCTAATCAGAAGTCACTTTAAGACTTCTCTAGCAAATTTATATACCACAGGATGGATTCTCTCATAATTGAAGTATTTCAAATTTACTGCATTTGAATAAATTATTTAAAACAGAAAAACTTGGCATTGTTTTGAAACTATTAAAACAGAAATAATAAAAAAGCCACAATTCTTTTATTGTTTCAAATGTTTTCTATCTTCCCCTTCAGTAGTTGCATCTGTGTTTGTATGACGGTAGAGTGAAAGGGAGAAAAGGGAGGAAAACGGAGGAAGGAGGTGGCAGAAAAAGAAGGGGCAGAGAGGGAGAAGAGAGAGAAGGCAGGAAAAGAGGGAGGGAAAGAGACCAAGAGGAGAGAGGAGGCAGGGAAGGAGGGAGGGAGAGAGGGGGAAATGTAGACTGATTACAGATTCCTAAATTCTCCTTACTTTTTACCTTGGACCAGATAGCATAGTGTCATGTTACTCTCTCAAAGTAATGATAAAGAAGAGAAATGATACAGAAACTTGTAATTGTTTTTTTTTTGGGGGGGGGCACTAGGGATCAAACTCATGACCTCGCGCTTGTCAGGCAGGCGCTTGTACCTCTGAGCCAAGTCCCTAGCCCCAGAAACTTGTAATTTTTAGAAGTGTATCTAATTTCAGAGCTCCACATGGACATAAGCTTCCTAGTAATAATTGTTAGTATTACTCTATAATGCATTTCAAGAGTTATTATATAGGGTGTCAATACAGTCATCATTGAAGGTTATCAAAAAGTAAATATGTTTTCTATGTTAAATAACTTTGAATGCTAAAATTGAGATTTAAATTTTTTTTCAAAAAGTAGTCTCTGTAGCCTAAAAAACTAGACTTCTCTTCAAAAGAAAAAAAAGAGTTCAATATTCACAACTATTTCTACAGATAAAAATAAATTCTGAATTTAAATTTTGTGAATAAAATCAGGCAGATTAAAATGATGTTTAAAAAGGAAGCGCCAAGGCCTAAATTTAACATAGTTATATTTGGGTTTAATTACTTGGCTGGTCTTGGGGCCAAAACCGACAATGAACAAATTTAACAGTAATACTTTCTTTGAAGACAATGTTTGCTAGAGAGTAAAAACAGAAGAAATTATAAAGGTAGAAATCACAAAGAAGGGAGGAAGATCGAAGAGCCAGAATTCAGTTACTCAAGAATGCTACGGGGGCTGGGGATTTAGCTAAGCGGCATAAGCGCCTGCCTTGCAAGCGCGTGGTCCTGAGTTCGATCCCCAATACCGATAAAAACAAACAAAACAAAACAACAACAAAAAAAGAATGCTACGGATAACAAGTACAGTCTTAAATTAACCGACCCAAAACAAGCACTTGTACCATTGCCCAATGACGATGAACACAACGTTGGTTATAATTTGGACCTTAAAGGCTGACGAGCCAGGAGACAGTCTGGTAGACCTAGTGAGGTGGTTAAGATGAAGCCCATGTCAGTGCCACACAAGGCTGCCAGCTCCCTAAACTCACCTAAGTGAGAACTTCCTTTTCTCTTGTGATAGAGACTGGAATATTCAAACTAAATTTTGATGAAAAAATATTTTATGGAAAAAATAAAGTAGTGACTTAGTGCTTCTCTTTACACAGCTCAACACTTCAAAGGCTGGTCATTTTCATGAACACAAAAACACTTAATGTGCTGTCAGCACTGTCAGACTCAGATGTGAAAGCTTAATGATTGAACTCAGGTTATTGTGAGGTAAGAAATGGAAGAAAAAGAACAGATAATACACAAACAGGAACAACTGGAAAAGGAATGAGGAAAAAACTACCACCACAAGAGAAGAAGGCTCAAATGAGCAAAAGCTTTAACTTTAAAAACATGTAATTACTGATTATTAGAATTTAGTTCAGAAACAAGGTCTGTGTTCTTCAGGTTGTGTGGACAAAGAATATTAACAGAGGCAAACTTTATAATTCAATGAACAAAAGGAATGTTATATAAACTTAATAAAGAACAAAGCTCCGTCTGCTATGAGTAAGTGAAATGGAGGGGAATTCCAAGCAGCTGGCAAATACTGCCTCGTGAATACATTCACAGAAATGAGAGGAAGCATAGCTTGCTGGAGGAAATCTCTGGGTCACTTGGTATCAGAGCCACAGGCAGAAGCGAGAAGGAAGAGGAAGACACAAAGGTGGGAAGGCAGACAGTAGTCAAACCCATGTCGTTCTAAAGATAACAGAGATGGGCTGAAAGTTCGTAATGGAAGAGCGACTACATCGGGCAGGTGCAATCCAAGAGTTTATACAGAAGCTAGAATCAGTGAGCAGGCAGGAGAGACAGACAGAGACAGAGACACAGACACAGACAGGAACTATGGCTGTGAAGGCTGGGACCGAGAAAGTAGGTGTGGGGAATTAAAAACTGGTGGTCAACTTAACCCCATCTGAACTGAATCAGCATGGTGCTACGTGTGGATGGCCCACCTGTGGGCTACTGCCAGCAAAAAGGAGACCTGGAGAGGAAGACAAGTGGCTTCTCCTAAGTGAGTATTATTGTTTGGAGCTGGTGGTTCTCCTGGAAGAGCTTGTCATGCTGGCTTCCCTGATAGGAACTCAGCTGTTATCAATGGAGGTGCTAAGGATCCTGTTGTCCCTGAGAATGGCTGCGGTTCACTTTGGGGGGGCCCTGGTCCTTATTTTGAGCATTGCTTCCTGGCTCCAGAGAGGAAGATGTCATGCTCTTTAATCTCCAGGAGAAGCTTGTCACACTGGCTTCCTGATATGAACTCAGTTGTTCTCATTTCAGAGGAGCTTAGGCCCTCGTTGACGCTAAGGATGGCTGTGGTAATTTTGGGGGGAGCCCTGGTCCTTGCTTTGAGCATCACTTCTTGGCTCCAGTGCAGAACCCTCAGGCTGCTGGCACAGACCCTTCACTCCACTAGCGCAGACTTTCTGGCTTCCACCACTGAATTATGGGCCTTCCCAGCGCAGATTCATGAAACAGACGAATGAGTCACTGCTGTGGGCTTAGGTCTCCAGTTGGATTCATGGAGCATTGTCATGGGCACTAAGTCTTTAGCTGGACTCATGCTGGACACTGCTGTGGGATCCAGGCCTTGCTGGATTTTGGGGGTGATTAGTGTCTCGACAGCTTTCCTGAACATTCTCTGTATTTGACTGCTTGGGTGACCATCATAAATACTATAAACTATGTGTCCTGTATGTAACTGTTCTCCTTGCAAACCCCTGACTACAACAGTAGGAAAACAAAAGAAAACAGCAGAATGCACAGGATTTGATGGCTGAGAGGGGGTCAGTGAGGAGACAGAGCAAGGTAACTGTGAATGCTTGAGGAAACCACTGTGATGGGGGGGAATCCACACCTGGAAATGATACTGGCACCGGAGGAGTCCCCAACGAGAAGGCAGAGACTTAGCAGAACACCCCACAGCAGCAAAAAAGCTTAGGCAAGCATTGCTGTGGTAAAGATTCCTACTGGTGTCTCTCAGGTTCTACGCTGACATGAGCTAAGTAACTGAGGGAAAGATGCGTACTACAGGGCCCTGGACCATTTTAAGTAGCTTACTTGGTAAAGGACTTCAGACAGTATCTTTTAAAGTACTAACTGAAAGAATAAATCCATGCTAGTCAGGTCTTGAGAAGATGCACCTGAGCGCTGCTCTGAGCACATGTGCAGCACCTCACTTGCCAGCCCAGAGCCAGGGCCACCTCGGGTTGCCCAGAACCGTGGCCTGCTCACCACGGACGCCGGGCTTCCATCCAGTATGCTGTTCTACAAGTCTACTGCCTTAGCCCTGTCCGGATTCAGGGGGCCACATGGATCTGGGACTCTGGCTGTCTGTAACATGTAGACTAAGTAATTTATTTGCTTGTTTCATGGCAAATATGAAATAAGCACCAATTTTTCTGAAGCAAAGCAACTAACAATGTCAACAAACTTTAAAAGCTCAATCCATCTATAATCCGGTGCTGTCTATACAGTTAATACTTAGTTATTATAAGATCAGAGAATTTTAAACTTTGGAAAACTAACATACCTCTCCCGACCTTCAGATGCTAGGTCACGTTGTTATAAAGTATTAAAAAGAGGCCCTATCTGGTAGCTTATGCCTAAAACACCAGCTATTCAGGATGCTGAGGCAGGAGGATGATCACTTGAGCCCAGGAGTTCAAGACTAGCCTGGGAAATACAGTAAGACCCTGTCTCTTAAAAGCAGAAGGGGAAATATAACTATAGCAACTCTGTAATTCTAAGGCAGTATTATTTTTACAAATATCAATAAAATATTTTATTTTCTAGTTATATTTCCCTATTTAGATGGTGTAACACCTATGTGTTCAAATAATTACAATATAGTAATTTGAATAATTTGAAAAATAAAAGTTCTTAGTACCACTTAGGATAAAAACATTAAAAAATTACAAACCTTGTATGTGTTCAGACTCCATTTTCTAACAAGTTCTAACTTTTCCATTGCAGGATTTTTAATTTCATCTGCCAAAATAACTGGTCCACTTTTTGTTTGTGTTCTCTGGCCACCTACATGATCATAATAAAAGACAAAAAGCACACAATTCAGATCAAGTAGGGAAAGAAAACAATGATGTTCAAACTAAATTACTTATGCACTTAGGAAGTAAAGATTCCTGCAAAGCGAGTGACTGGAATACATAGAATCATTGATAATAATTTCCTAATCATTCAAAAAATACAGTATGTCTGTCCATTATCTACAAATGCCATATAGTTTGGCTACTGTATCAAAATTGATTTTTATATCAATTCTTGTTATATTAACTGCTGCTTATTTCAGGAAAAAATAAGTTTTACAATGAATCTTAAAGCCTGAACTATGTTTTTTTTTTTTTTTTTTTTTTGGTACCACAGATCAAACTCATCATCTCAAACTTGCCAGGCAGGTGCTGTGCCCTGAGCTATCCTATATCCCTGGCCCTGCCTAAACTATTTTTGGTCAGTAAAAATTCCCACACTGATCTCCTGTAACTGTCTTACGCTGATCAGAAAAAAGACAGAATGTTGCTATAGTCTTAGATAATTGGAAAAAATAATTCAAATAGTCCTTGAAAATGAATGTTTTTACCACAGGAAATGCTGAGTGTTTATGGAGATACGTTTAAATCATTGTAGCACTGTACAATGTAAGGAAACATCACACAGTGCCCATACCATGTACAATTGTTATTGTACAACGAACCAGTTAAAAATTTAAATTAAAAATATGTTACCACCAGCATATGAGGCAGGACTGAAATAAGACCGATACAGTACATTGTTCTCAAGAGCTCTTTCAATATAGTGAGACTCTATCTCAAAAGAAAGTAAATAAAAAATAGAAATATAAAAAAGCTCTTCAAGAAAAACAAGGTAGCATAACGTGTTGGCAAAGGTGCTATTCTAACAATGGAGGTTTTATGGTATAAAAAGCAACTTTACAACAATGTAGTTTCAAATAGTAAAGTGCTTTCCATAGAATAAGAAATGTTTCATAAACACAGTATCAATGATTTGGGATATAAACTATGATAATTTAAAAAGAACAATGAAATACAGAAAAAAATTACAAAAAGTAGTTTTAAAAACTCAGGGTCAGTAAAAATTCCTTCTTATTTATTCCTACAGCCTTTAACACAGCCCATCACAGATTAAAATTGAGAACTGCATATAAAACCAAACATTTAAGAATTTATAAAATTCTCATAAAGACAAAATATAAAAACTAATATTCCATATGAAAAAGAAATGTGGAATTCACATTTCCCATTTTTATATTTCATCAACATTCAAATGTAGAGCAAATTAAACACAGATCTTTACTTTTTCCCCAGTATTTTTCACTGGGTATAAGCTGGTAAATTACATGATATTTTGTCACAATTTGCAAACTACTTATCAACTGAGGCTATAAATAACAAGAAACAACCTTTTCCAACCACCCATTCCCAACTGTTGAAGCTTCTTTAAAAGAAAAAAAAAAGACACCTAAAAACCAAAAACGGCAGAGATGCAAAGCTGGAGGTGAGGATCAAACAGGTGAACCTGAATTACCCAAAGAAAAGAAAGGATGCTTTAAAACAAATGGTACTATATTGGTTTTAACCGTAAGAAGACAGGTTAAGAAATACTGCCTAATTACTTTGAAAAGCCAGAAAGGTAGAAAGCTTATTTCCCCCCAAATCAGGATAGAAAGCTTACTTCCTTTCTCATTAAACAAAACAAAACATCCCAAAAAGCAGCCAGCCACCAAAAAAGCCAGAATAACACACACCTAAGAATACAAAGCAAGTGATTAGGAAACTGAGTGAGTTAGTTTAGCTTCAGCAGCAGCAAGAAGGGCTTTGTCCAGTCAGTGCAGCAAATACCTGCAGGAACAATTAAATCACTTCCTTGTTGAGCCAGTTGACTAGCTGCAACCCTGCTAGGAGACATAACAGATGGCAAAGGTGGTTCTGGGGAACCTGAAAAGGGCAGACATTCAACTGTGAAAATCCTGTTCCTCCTCCACACACTACACATTGTGAATATGATTCTACTTACACTTCTTTTACAATATACTAAGGTTAGAGGCTAGATTAACACTGAGATTAATGAAGACTAAAATTAATATATTTGCTTTCCTGAAGGCAAGGACTAATAAATGAATGTTACCAGGCTGTTCTTACAAACTTTTCATCAATTATCAAAATCAAACAAAGCACCTAAATATACAAAGAAATTTGGCAAGCTCTTATCTAAACAAGACTTTACCTGGATTCTATGATTTCTAAAATCAATTACTAGAATATAACAAAATTCATATTTGGAATGATTTAAATTTTAAGTAAATATTTGATAATTTGCTACTCTTTAATACAAAGGAAACGCCAAGTAAAAATTCTAAGGCACATTAAGGGATATGTTTTATTTTTTTAATTTTTAAAAAGTTTTTTGGTACTGGGGATTGAACTCACGACCTCATGTTTGCCAAGTAGGCACTTAGGCCACTGAGCTAAACCCCTGGCCCAAGGGGTATGTTTTAGTATCACTTATAGAAATGTGAATGAATTACAACCTTCATAGGAATTACTGCCTTCACAAGAATTGCAGCCAAAACTTCCAAATATAAATTAAATATCACAAAGTGAATATCACCGCTATTCACAGTGTGGAAGCAGGGCACTTACAGCAGTGAAGTCACTCCTCTGTTAAGACACCCAAGTTTCAGGTGCTGACCAAGACCCCCAAGTCAGAATCTGCACTGGGACAAGTATCTCTGGCACTCTGACATTTCAGAAGCGCTGATGAAGACTAATCACAAGAATGCCTGGAGTTTTTAATACATAACTGGGACATACACAAGATCCAAGCATCATTTGTTATTTCAAAAAAGCCAACTTAAAACTAGAGGGGGTGGTAGAAATTAACTACACTCTCACATTGAATTGTAAGAGAAATGAAGCCCAGAGGTCTTACTTTCCTATTAAAAAATCTGAACCCACACCACAATATCTCTATTATCAAATTTAATGCAGAAAACAGTAATACACAAATTATTTGGTAAGTTGGGAGAAAGTATATTAGGTTACCTAATCCACCATTTCAAAGACTATCTCTACTCTCCAAAGCACAGGCTTTCTACTATAGGCTATTACAGTCCCACGTCTTGATGACCCTAGGAACAAAACTCTGCTGTTCACTTATTACAGCTTATTAATCTTGCATAAGAAATAACACCATAGCACAATACAAGATACGTTGAAGGCATTTACCTACTACGCATGGGGCCCTGGGTGCAGTCCCAGTACCAACACACACGCACAAAGAATGAATGAATGAATGCATAAAAATGAATTTTGAAATAGGTGAATGACCCAAAAATTGTGTCAATTTATGAAAAGCCTTATACTTCAAGCACTCATAACTTTAGGCATTTGGCCAACTTTTCTAAATGCCAAGTTGACCCCAAGACATAAATATACTGGTATTTTAGAATTAAGTACAGATATTTATTTATTTATTTATTTTTGGTAGTGGAGGTTGAAGTCACGACCTTGCACTTAACAAGAAAGCACTTGTGCCACTGGCTAACTCCCCGGCCCGAGTACAGGTTGGTTTTTAAAGACCATGTTCTGATTTTTGTTTTCAGAAGTCCACATATACAGCCCAGAGTGCTTATATGTACACATTAGGATACTGACAGGCAGAAGCCCTTTTATAGCTTTACCATGGTACCTCGGTTCACGAACTTCATTTGTTCTATGAATCTGGAAAAGATGGCCGCTTTTGTGCCTGTGTTTGGGTGGGAAAGGTGGCCACGGTCCTGTTTGCCATTCAATCAGGAATTTACAAATAAAAATGAAATTTGCTAATGCTTTTGTTTGAGAACCAAACTGTTTGCAAATAAAAGTGTTTGTGAACTGAAGTACCACTGTATTTTCTAAACATAAGAATGGAAAGGAGAAAATCATGTATTTCAAATTTAAAGTATTTCTGAATAAAGACATGGCCAAAAAAATTCATTAAAAATACAGAGTACTATTATCTGCACGAGGACCAAGTATTGCAGACGTATGGGGATCATTTCTTTTTTTGTTTTTTTGTCTTTTTCGTTTTTATCAGTACCAGGAATCGAACTCACGACTGCCTGCTTGCAAGGCAGGCGCTTATGCCGCTGAGCTAAATCCCCAGCCCTGGGATCATTTCATTTTTATAAAATTACAATATAGTATTTAAAGTAGCCAGTTGTGGTGGTACCTGCCTGTAATACCACCACTTCGGAGGCTAAGGCAGGAAGATTATCTTGAGTTCAAGGCCAGCCTGGGCTACACAATGAGTTAAAGCCCAACCTGAATTGTATATGAGACCAGTCTCAAAAAGACAAAAGTAAACAAACAATAATTAAAAATACAAAATTAATATACTTTACTGAACACCAACTGTAGCTACTAAACTATAGCCCTGTCAAGAAAATAATGTTTTCCTAAATTCAAATGTTTACATGGTTTTTCTTTTACTCATGTCTAAATAAAAGCACAGGGAAGAACATTTACAAAGGAAGCAATTTTTCCTTTTCTATTAAACACACACACGCACACATACACACGCAAGATGAGCAGAGAGAGTTCACAAAGCAGGTCTAACTGCCTTTCCTTAAAAACTTACAAACCAGAGCTTGCTAGACTGGCTCTCAACTGGTGCCTGGAACTCCAATTTGGGGAGGATTCCCTCCATCCTCGCAAGGATGGGCTCACTCTGCCTCAAACATTTATACAAATGTGTATTATGCACTGTGGTTTACCCATTGCTTTTGGAATCTTGATTCTGCTAGACAGAATGTGAGCAGGCCCTGTAAAATCCCTGCATAATCAGTCTCTAAATGAGCTTCTTAGAAACATTTTTTTTTCTTTTTATCGGTACCAGGGATCGAACTCACGACTGCCTGCTTGCAAGGCAGGTGCTTATGCTGCTGAGCTAAATCCCCAGCCCCTAGAAACATTTTATATGCTGTCACAGCTCACTGCTGGAGGAATTAAGAAATCCCTGTAAGGCTTAACTGGGAGATGACCCATAGGTGCCTTGCCTAGTTTTACCCAGACTTTGTCTCCTGCATCTTTTGCCTTTACTGATTATGCTTGGATTTCTCTCAGTGCAAGTAATCACGGCTGTAAGTGTGACAATAAACAGTCGTATAGTCCTCCCAGAAAATTATTAAACCTGAGCTTGGTCACTATAGAAAATCTTGGAGACTGTCTACACAGCATGTATAAGAGAAAAAAATAATTCATTTTCACATTTGTTTTGAAACAAGAAATATGCATTTATACAGATCAATATTTATAATCTCTGCTACCAATATTTTGTGGTTACAAATTTTGTGTTACAAACATCTAAATTTGTATTACGATATAATTTTTGAGTTTTTATTTCAGTATTTAAAAATAACTTGAAATTATGCATGTTTATTTATAAAAGATTATTAACAAAAAAGAATTATGTGTAGGATCAGTGTCTTCTTGCAGAACTGTAATAAACATACCACTCAATCTGAAGTCTTATACTTTAAGAACAGAAAGCCAAGAAGCACAGTGTCCTCTATGAGGCAAAACCAAGGTTAAATGTAATCTAAAGTAAAGAGCTCAATTTTCTTGCACTTGACTATAAAGGCAGGATTCAATGAACTTCTCCCCGCTCCACCCCAGCATTCTGTACAAACAACATGAGCTCTTACCTTGATATGCTCCTGCTTCAATAACCCCCTCTTTGGTACTGTCAAAGCCATGAGATGTAATCTGAGTTTCTGAGAGACCAAGTCCAGATGGCAATGAACGCTTCAAATCCTTAGTAACATTTGAATAAAAGAAAAAAAATGTGTAAAAAAAAATCTCACATCACTTAACAGTACAGAATAACTGTGTTCCTTTAATCGCATCCTATACATCTTAGCCTCTCCTCTGTGTGGTACTCCCCTATGCTACCATGGTACCCTAAAATGGTTTACAAGCAGCAGCAAATACAGGAAGATTTACAGTGGTACAGTGTATGTCAAACACAACACACATCATTATTCTGGAAGCAGGTAGCAGGTAGACATGAAAATTCAACTAAAAACTAGGATACTGACGTGTCAGAAAAATTATTATACGGAAGGAACAGAATTAACATCACTAAAATGTCATGATTTATAATCATGATTAGCCAATGAATCAATGTATATACATCATTCACTTGCCATGTTAATCTCCCTTCAATTTTAAGATTAGGTAAACTGGGCTTTCCTACTTCAATCAAGGTGAGGTAAGGGAAATTTCCTTTACTTAGATATATATTAAACACTGATACTACCATAAGTGCAAATTAGCTTAGAATAGGACTTTAATTGTAATAAATGTAACACTCAATCTGAAGTCTTATCGTTTAAGAAGAACAGAAGGCCAAGAAGCACAGTGTCCTCTATGAGGCAAACCCAAGGTTAAACATATTCTACAGTATTTTGTCCAGAACTGTGTAAATTAAATGTCAGGGCTCATACTGATTAGGCACACAGGCCAGTAAAACTATTGTGAATGACCAGAAACTAACACACGGGCCTCAATTTGTTACCTCAAAGGGAGAAAACTATACTAATAACAGACTGAAAATTGGCATGTCTACCATGACTGGAGCACCAAAGAAGCTTAACTCAAGCAAAAGTATTAAATCTAAATAAATTCACTTTCTATACACTTTTATTGAATTTTCACAGGAATTTCTGGATCATTACAAATCATAATACAACTAACGATGATGCTAACTATAATTATATATTTTTACCAATCTGTCACACCTCTTTTAATACAATGGTGGAGCACCTATACAGTAGATGCCCAGCATGTGTGACAATTTATAATGTAGTTGAGAACTCAGAAAAGAGAATGATCATTATGTGTTAGACGGAAGGAAGTCTCACCAAGGTGACTGATATAGAATACTGGAGAGACGGAATGAGGGTGAGGAAGGCTGCAACTCCAATCTAACAGAGAAACATGTAGGCAAGAGGCAGGAAGCCCGGCTGTCACCGCCTAGCAAGGAGGCCGCCAACCAGGCTCCCCTAGTCACAACAGCTAAGGTCTATGCTGAATAGATAGGGTAAATGAATTAGGAGGAAGTTAGATAAATTTCTTAGAAAATCTGATCATGACTGAATCAGAAATTTGTATCCTTTTGAAAAGCAGATTTATTTGATACAGAAGACAGCTTTAAGAATATTAATTTAGATCAGGTGTGGTGGTGCATGCCTGCAATCTCAACACTTGGGAAGCTGAGGCAGTAGGATTGCTTTAAGTTTGAGGCCAGCCTAGACTACATAGTGAGCTCAGGTCTGGCCTGAAGCAAGACCCTGCTTCAAAAACAAACAAACAAAAAACAAAAGGAAAAGAAATACAAATGGCAAATACATGAAAAAATATTCAGCATCATTGGTCATTAGAGAAATGCAAAATAAAACCACACTGAGATTCCATCTCACTCCAGAAAGAATAGCCAGGATATGGGGCTGGGAATTTAGCTCAGCGGCATAAGCACCTGCCTTGCAAGCAGGCGGTCGTGAGTTCAATCCCCGGTACCGGAAAAAAGAAAAAAAAAAAAAAAAAAAAAAAAAAAAAGAATAGCCAGGATAAAGAAAACTACCAACAATAAATGCTGGAGAGGATGCGGAGAAAAAGGAACTCTTCTGCACTATTGGTGGGAGTGCAGACTGGTGCAATCACTGTGGAAGTCAGTCTGGCGGTTCCTCAAAAAGCTGGGATTGGAAGTCCCATTTGATCCAGCTATTCTACTTCTAGGCATATTCCCAGAAGAACTGAAAACGTTATATCACAGTGATATATATGCACCCATGTTTATGGCAGTACAATTTATAACAGCCAGATCTTGGAAACAACCTAAATGCCCACCAACTAAGGAATGGATAAAAAACATGTGGTATTTTTATACAATGGAGTTCTACTCAGCTATAAAGAATGATCACACTGAGATATTTATAACTGGACGCAACTTGAGACCATATTCTTAAGTGAAATAAATCAAGCTCACATATGTAAATACTATATTGCCTCCCTAGTATAAGAAATGGTAAGTGTACATAAGATACAAAATCCTCAATAAATACAGTGAAAGGGTAAGAATCTGCTCAAAGGGGGAAAAATAATATCTCAGGGAAAAGGAGGAAAAAGAAAAAGGGAAAAGAAAAAATATCTAAATTTGTATAAGCACACAGAATACTAAGATGATTGTGCTACAAATTCTGTAAGTTTGTACAACAAAGCAGTTAACATTCATAGGCTTGGAATAATTTTGCATGCTTTTGTCTAGTGACCTGAGGAACTCTTGAAGATCACTATGTGAAATATCAACCTTAGTTCTGTTCCTACCATCTTGTTTTTTTTTTTTTTTTGTCTTTCTCATTTTTATCAGTAACGGGGATTGAACTCACGACCGCCTGCTTGCAAGGCAGGTGCTTATGCCGCCGAGCTAAATCCCCAGCCCCCTACCATCTTGTTTTGAAAGACTATATCGTCATTGTTTTGGGCTCTTTGCTGTTGTTTATTTTTCTTTTTTGTTTCTTATTTTTCTAGTAATCTGTTGTTTTGGTTTTCGCTCTAATGCAGAAAGGACAGGTATACATGTAAAGGCTTATACATGCCTAGAACTTCTAAACAGTTTACGAGAATTGATTATATTATGCATGATGAAATGAAGCTATTTTGAAGAAAAACAGACATTATGGTATGTATCATCAGGCTGTGGAATCCAGTAAGGCTTCTATTCTTTGTTCAGAGTGGTTTCAGCCTGTTTTGTATTGTTTAATTTCAACATACATAGCTGTCCATACATGACAGTATGGACAGCTATTTTGAAGAGAACAAGAGAGATTGTGGTAGCCATTAATTTTCCTATTGTCTGGTTTTGAAGGCCTGTAATGCCTTCATTACTCTGTTCTGATCAGTTTTATATCATTTTGTTTTGTATGAATTCATTGTGTGAAGATACAGACAACTATTTAGAAGAAAACAGGAGACATTATGGTAGCAAATGCCAGGTATGCCAGGTATGTAGATCTCCTGTTGTCTTGCTTTGAAATCTTACATTGTTTTCTTCTGATCTGCATTGTTCTGTTTTGTTATTTTTCGTTTTAGCCTTTTTAAAATTAAAAAAAAATGGAGAGGAATATTAATTTAGGATATATGTAAAAGCAGTTTTAAAAAAGAGAAACTGAAGGCAAAAGCATATATTGCACCTCAATTATTCAGTAACAGCAGCCTAGGGTCAGAAAGGTACCCAAAAGAATGACGGGAAAGATAAAATTCAGGGGTACATGAGTAACTAAAATACAGACTTCTAATGAAAATTTAGGATAAAGTCATGTATTAAGCATAACAATAAAGTTAATATATTCAAGAGACACAAGAGGTTCATACAGAATTTAATTTTCATCAACATAAATCAATATATAGATATATAACAATATATACAGAGGTTATTTATTTAAATCATGGGACAAGATTTTATTCTGAACAACAATGTCTATTCTGCTACTTAAAATACTGTAAGACTGGTTTAGTGCCAATCTGTCAACTTATACAAAGTGGCAGGAACATAATGAAGATTACGAGGCTTTTATCCCTGCCCTCCTAGCACATGGAAAGATACACGCTGTAGAGGAAGACAGCCACCTGGCTTGAGAACTGAAACAGTACACTCCCTGAGGATGGCAGAGGTTTGTTAGGTGACTAAATATAGTCTGATGCTTTTCTCTGCTTCAAACTCAGCTTTGGAAGCAGCCCTGGGGATCTGGAGGAATCGGGTGCTCAGGTCCACAGCCTACTCAGTCTCTGTCACTAAGTTCCTTAGTTTAACCACAAATATTTAGATGATTTCAAATTAAATACACAGGAATTAAAATCCGACTTTGGGATGTCTTTGAGCTTTAATATTGCTTAAAACTATTCTTAGATATTTTACTAGGGTATTTTAGTAACTGAAGTATTAAACTCAATTTGGTTTAGTTAAACTGAAAATGATTTCTAAGCTTTCCTAAGAAAACATCCACATAATAAAAGTGTGTCTTTCTAGCATTTCTAGTATGTGTATCAGATCTGAAATTTACCTTATAAATAATCACATGCATTAGTTTTAAAGCACTTTTGTTATGTTTTGGATTAAAATGTTCAGCCTTACATCTCCAGCTTCATAGTTTGATTCCCCTTCACTGGCCAGAACAGTGTCTGCTGGTTACTGAGACACTGACTACTACAAAAACGATAAACGAAGGGGACTGTGTCTGGGAATGGCTCCTTAATCCTACAGTCTCAGCCTTGGGATTTCGTCACACTAGTGTTTTCACTGGTGCTTAGGTGCGTGTCATGTGATTTGTTATGAACAGTAGTTGAAAGTTAAATGTTTATCAACCTCAGTGTGTAAGGTACTTAAACTGAGTAGGTCCAAGGTAACCTCTACCACTTCCTCTTTAATTGCACTGCAATGTGCTTCCTGGACTGACAAATGCAAGGCAGAGCTTCACAGGACAAACAAGACTGTCAGCACTCTGGATACCCATGGAGAACTGGCTCTGATTGCAAAGGCACCCATTACTTTAAAAAGCAACTAGTAATCATGTGATGAGGCTGCTTGATGTCATGGTACAGTGCCTGCCCAAGTCAGTCAAGTCTGAGTTTGAATCCTGACTCAGTCACTTAATGGCTGCATGAGCCCAGGCAAGTTCTCTAGATTGCGAAGTGTCTTTACTGTAAATAGGGATGTTTAAGGGACAAAACCCCTCTCCTCATAGCAACAGAGAAGA